CAAGTCCTAGACTTGAACCACAGTAGACCATGTGCGAGTCAAGTTACATAACCATTATGCCATCTGCTGATCCCTGGGGTCCTTGTTTTTAAGATCATATAGATGTTATCAGAGATTTAAAAGAAATACCCTAGAAGAATATATGGTGTATTTATGAAAATAAGTGTGAAAATTCATAACTTTTTCCAAAAGTTTGAACCTTTTTGCTGTGGATTCAGCTAGGAGTTGAATATACAAAATAAATATAATTCCATCCCTGCCCTTGAAGGTTTTATAGTCTAATGAGAAAACAAAATTCAACTGATGATTTCAATAGTGAGCTTAATGGTTAAAGAATAACAATGTATCTGGGGAGCCATGGATGTTTGGACAGGATCTCAATTCTATCAGAAAATCTTTCATTAGAAGAGAATCAGAAGGCAGAAGGAGAGGGAGGGTATCTGAGGGAGAGGTAAGTGGAATATTGATGGCCTTATACAGGACAGTATCAAATCTGTGCTTTCAAATGATAGTTCTCAACTTCTTCAAATCTTTCCATAAAATATTTTAGCAAGTTATATCAAGAGTCTTAAAACATATTCATTTGCTTTTACTTAGAAATTTCACACCTAGAAATCTGAGATTCTGCCAGAAACTTCCTTATGAGGAAGTTAATTAGCATTATTTACTACCATGAAGAATCAGAAACAAAGAAAAAATGATTAAGAACACCAACAAAAGATTCAACAATGCAGTGATGGCTCAATAAGTTATGATAGTCTAAGCCATGTGATGGTATGCCTTCCTTGTCACACACACACACACACACACACACACACACACACACACACACACATTTTAAAAGAGTATTTTGGGGCCAGCAGGTTGGAGTGCTGGACTCGCACATGGGCGAGCACAGAAATAGGCCCTGACCTGGAGGCTTTCTCAGTCTCTCTCTAGCGAGCACATGGACCCTATAGGAAATTAAAAATAATAATAAGAATAATAATAAATGAAATTAAATGATCATTTTTTTTAAAGGGGAGGTGCTATTTCAAGGACCAACAAGTGGCATGGTTGTTAAGGTGCTGGATCTCACATCATCAGCTTCACCATTCCAGTCCAGGACCCAATGGCTTGAAAACACACTGGGTACAAGTACATGTGTGCCCAAAGTCTCAGGAAGAGAATGGACAGGAAAGGATTGTTGTGGCGCCATCCCCCTGAGGGCTGGTTTCTCACTTTAGTCTATCTCTTTTAGGGACCACATGCACCCTATTGCCAAAAAAAACCTAAAAAATCAAAACAAGCAAAATTATTGTGACATAAGAGTTTTATAACAATGGAAACATGTTTAATGAACTATCATCTTACATTCCTAATTAAAATGTAGTTCCCATTTTTGGTTGTACTTTTCACCTATATTCTACTTCTCTCATGGTCTCCTTCCTTTAAACATACCAGACAACAGAGGGATGCAGTTTCTCCTTATTTTGTGCAAAATCAAAATAACTGGCTTTTATTTCTTTCTCTCTCAACTATTAGCATGAGCTTGGATTTACAAATCATGTAGATCTCTAAATCGCATTCTATCTATGGTATCCAGGCTGGCTAGGAAAAGAAAGATGCCCAGAGAAGAGCAGAAAAGAAACTAGGGATCCAGAATGTGATGGGAGTGAGGGTGCAAGAACCAGAAAGGATGGGAGCTGTGTATTGAGAATGAATTACTGCATTGAGTTGCTCAGGAGTGGAACATAAACACATACATAATGGTCCAATATCAGAAATGGCACAATGATTAATTGCCAAGTAACTATAGGCAATACATGCTTTTTAAGAATTATTTATTTATTCAATCATTTTCATTTGACCAGAGAAAGATAAGAGAGAAGGAAACTGAGAAAGCAAGCTACCAGGCCTGGGACTCGAACTGTGGTCGATCATGTGGAAATGTCCAGCGCCTTAACCACCACGCTACCTGCTGGCCCCTAGACAATACATGTTACAGAAGTTTGGAAGAGTTTGGTGGAGAGAGCCATCATTTGGTTAGATACATGTATCTGACCAAGTATCACTGAAGATACCCATCTCTAAATCTTCTCTTAATCTTTGTTAGAAGTTCTAGTTATGTAGGGCTGAAATCTTGGATACCTTTGGGGGCGGGATTTAGTTATTGAAGGGCTTAAAGAACCTCATTGCAAAAGGATTTTAGCTGGTAGGTTTAGAAAAGAAAAAAAAAAAGAAAAGATTATGAGAAGAATATGTGAGAAAATAATTTGAGGTTCAAGTATAGTAGCAGGCCAGTTTAAGGTTAAGTAGGCCTGTAGCCATTTTGAAATTAAGAAAGGCCCTAACAAGAATCTGACCAAGTGCTAATGCACGGGGAACTCCCTTTGAGGGATGGCTGGAGGAGAAACCAGGACTGAGTATTTGAAGGAATCAGGATATTTACTCAGTGAAAACGATCGACTCTGAGTGTGGTGAGGAAGGATTTGCACGGGCTTCTTGTGTCTTGTACCTATAAATTCGAGACAGTTTGTTGGTACTTGGGGACTGTATCTTGTAGCTGATTACAGAATGAACTCCCTTCTTCTCCAACCTCTGCCTCTCATTTCATTGGCTAGGAGAAGCAGCAGCCAGACTGACTTTGGCCAGTAACAGTACTATTTGAGAAAATTCTCTCTCACAGAAATTCACTCTCCTTTGATTTCTCATTTCCTTTAACATATACGCACATGAAATCTGCTGTGAAAGACAGAATCAGCCAGGAATATAGACCAAGAAATTTACCACTAAATGGGGACACATATGTGTTTCAGCTCTTAGGAAAATGTGCCTTCCTCACTTTCTCCCTGGATTTCTTGGTTCTCTGTGTTGAAGGACTTGATGCAAAAATGTCTTGCTTTTACAGTTTCTCCTAAGTGAATGGTAAGCACTTTCTCCACACCATTGCTGTTCTAGATTATAGATGTCTACACAGCATCGGGTGACCTTCACCTACCACTAGCTGGATGGATCAACACATTTCCCCAACCACATAACTTATACTCTTTTGGGGTTTTCCTGTCTGTTTTAATCTATTTAAACCCGACACCAGCAGATTTCCATTTCCTTTGTTTCTGGTGTAGACTTGGTTTCTACATGTTGGTCTCTAAAAGGGACAGAGAGGAGACAGCTGTTGAGAAGTGAGCAGATTGGCAGTTTTAACCACAATTTGGTCTAACAGCTTTGATATGCTAAACTTGCTAGCTCCTCCAAGTGTACCTTTCTGTTTTTGCATCACAACACCGCCCTGAATCCCTAAGGAAACCAGGGTAGTGTTTTAAATAAAAAAAGAAAAGAAATGCAAACCAGCGGAACCATTCTTCTAAATCTTCTCGGAGATTCATTCCGCAAACTGCGGGCCTACACAGATCCGCGTTCGCTAAGAGACCTTTAAAAAAGGAGAAGCCCGAGAATACTGATCAGGTTCTAAAAAGCGAAAACAGGTGATGTCATAATGCACAGTCCTGAGTGGTCACGGTCAAGGCTGGATAGAGAGCTGCAGCTCCAGTGAGCTCGGCCCTCTGCGCCAGTGGGCAGAGCAAGTTATCTCCAGGGCCCGGAGGACACCGGTGAAGATCCGACACCAATCAGGTTCTTGCTCTGCGCCTGCCTTTGTTCTCACTGGGGAGCAGGTTTCCGGCATCTAGCGTCGGGAACCCGCATTCAACCCTCACGTGTGTTGCTGGCTTCCTCGCAAAACCTGGCTCCCCTTCTCGCCTGTACCCTAGCCCTATCAGGCAGAGCGTTCCCTAGTTCCATCTCCCTTCGCCCCGCAGAACGTGGACGCTAAATTCTGACTCACCATTTTTAGCTTTGCAAGAGGCAGGTCTAGCCAGAGTTTTAAATGGCAGTTTGCTCTCCGAACCTTCCTTCCCAAACAGCCCTCTATGCTCTGCATATATCTGACCAGCTGCCTCAAAAAGGACTTTGGGTGAGAAGATTGATCTCTCTTTTGATCCTTTCCTGCGTGGACAAATGAAGAAACTTTCATTGCTGGGAGAACTGTGAGAAGGTGCTTCAGCTAAGAGGACGCCGCTAAGCCAGAGATTTGATGACCCCCCCAACTCGATTAATTGTATAAATATATCTCCGTCATCTATCTCCTATCCCCTTCCAAGCCTCAGGTAATTGCTCTTTTGCAAAACAAGGTTCACAATAAATGATGCATAAAGTTCTTTGAGATCCCTGGTTGCAAAGTTGTTACAAGACTGCAGTCTCCCTTACAGCTAAGCTTAGATTTGGGCTGAAAGAACGCCTAACCACTGCCCCAACGGAATAAACGTTTTAGCCACCCTTCTCCCCCTTTCTCTGAGACCAGGAAACGTTCAGCTCAATCTTAGCCCCTCTGGTGAGCTCTAGCTCCCAGTTATTTATCTCACTGTCCTCCCCAAGTCTGCAGAAGGCTGGAGGAGGGGGCGTGGCTTGCCTGGGGGGGGGCTCTCCCTCTTATTGGTGGAATCGCGCAAACTGAATTCCCTCCCACCCCGCTACCTAACTAACCCGACGTCTCCCTTCAGTTCGGAGCCTCGGAGATAAACTTAACTTGCCCGGAGATTCAAGGCGTCCTCCGCCCCTGCGATTGGCCGGCGCGTCTCCCAGCCGGGCTCTAGAAACTCATTGGCTGCGGACGAGCGCCCTGGGGGCGTGGCCGGAGCGGTCCGATTGGCGGGAGGGGGCGGTACCGGAGCGTGGAGGTGGTGAAGGTGGTGGGGCGGCGGGGGCGGGGCCGCACTGAGGCGCTGCG